AATAAAACCAGAATTCCTATAAAAGTCATCTTCTACGGCATTCCTTAAATTATCACTGTATATACAATTTAATCACTGGCTGATTACACTGACGGAGTGATGTTAATTCTAATGTAGAGCCAGGGCTGAGAATCAAAACCACTTACTAATGGCGTGATCTTGAGGAAGTTATTTTATTTCACAAAATCTTACATTTTCTCAATTCTAAAACAGGCTGAGTAACAATACCCACCTGAAAAGGTGCCTGTGTGAAGGGATATATTCCACATAACCCCGCAGCAAAGTGCTTGGTGGGCAGTAAGAACCTAATACTGTTTTCCTATGTTATGTGAAAATAAAGTTAATTTTGATCATTTCCATCATCCATAACTGATTATAAAATGCCCAGAAAGATGACAGTCTATAACAACTAAATGATTTTCATATTAATATCAATATTGTACTTAATATATCCAAGCAAAGTAGCTAAAAAGGGTTCACAAGTGGATGAACTAGAAATATACCAAGTATTAAAAACAATTTGGGCCCAATCTCTTGTGACCTTAAAGAAATCATGTATGTCTCTGAACTGCAATCTAATCACCTATTCCAAGAAATCAAACAGAACTTATAGGATCTACTAACCAGACCCTAGAAAACTTAAATACTGACCAGACCCTACGAAATTTAATTCCAGTTTCAGCAATAAAAAGAATTGCTTGGGAACCATTCCCTTCTAAAGCCACTCATTCCAGTAAGCATGACTGCTTTGGCTGACTCTGTAGCTTTCAAAGTCATTGACTAAAAACAAGCTAAAAAGCCCAACCCTAACGGCTATTAACTTAAATCTTCGGTAACTCTTTCTGAATTTATCTTAAACAATCTTGAAAATTACCTACCAAAAATTCTATTCACTTTTCCTCTCAAATCACTATTTGCCTCATCTCAGTACTGCCCCCCTTCCAGTCTACCAATCAGCAGCCCGTGAGGAAAGCGGCGCTGACTTGATGGATGAAGAAGTCACAGGCTCACGGGGTGTAAACAGTGCACAAACTCCAACAGTCACGGCGACAGTCACTTCCTTTGGTTGAGAACTGCCACCTGCCAGGATCTAAGATAAGCACCGCGTGCCTTACATAATCACAACGAACTAAAATACCGTTACTCCCGTTTTACAGACATACTCAGAGAGGTTAGGGGCCCGCCCAAGGTCACATCTCTGACAGCGGCGATTCCACGACTCAGACTCGAACGTTTTGTGTTTTGTGTCGGCTTTTTCCCCCAGAGACCAATCTCCTTCTAGTACACGGCTGGGCTCGCGCCCTCGGGACTGCTTCTCGGAAAGCAGCCCTCCCCCGCCCACCGGCACGGATCCACAGGTGCGCGGCAGGAGCCGCCGGGACGCCGGCCTGCCGGGCAGCCACTGCGCCTCAGGCCCGGACCGCAGCTCCCTCTACCCTGGGCCTAGCTGCAGGCGGGAGCTCCAGATCGCCCAGCCCTTCCGACCCCGGCGCCCCATTGTTCCCGATCTCACTCACCTCGGAGGATACCGGCGCAGGCCCGGCTGGGGAGCTCGTGGCAAGCTCCCTACGGCCCAGAAAGCTGGGTCGGTGACGGCAGGACCCGCGAAGGCGAACCCGGCGACTTCTCCGCCGGCCCTCAGGAGCGGGAGTAGGCAGGGGCGCTTCACCCTCCTCGCGAGAGAGCGGAGACCCCGGCGGCTGCTGCGACCCCTGCGACGTAAAGAGCTCATCACCAATGGTTGCTTGGGGGTGGTGGCAGAAAGCGGTAGCAGAAAGCGAAACCCACTCCGCGACCCCCAGCAAGTCAAAACACAGCACCCGCCTGCGTAACGCATGCGCGGTAGAGGACGCCAGCACCGAAGGCGGAGCTTAGCGCGCTCCGCCCGAGCCCGGCCCTTCCCCCAACCCCCTCCGCCACCGGAATGAGAGAGACCTGACCCACCGAGGCAGAAATCGCTATTTTACCGTCACTCTGGTTGCTACTAATCTCTGGGGATTACAGAGGCACTAGTTTAAAGTTCGCTTCTAATTTATCCGGAAGACATGATAACTAGCTTGGTCTCATTTAAACCTCACCAAACTCTGTGAGAAGTTAACTAAAACTGTATCTGGTGTATAAAGGAACCGAGTTACCCGGAGGTTAAGGGACTACCTCCGGCTGCAGAGTTAGGAAACAACACCGGGATTCGAATGGAATACCCAAATCAGAGGCCTACAGTTTTCAGAGAGAGATCAACTCCAGTATAGGGATAAACAGGGATTCAACCTAAGAGAATAGGGCCTTGAAATCTTCCCAAAACAGATAACGTTTTTACCCTTCCCCACTCTCCGAAATCTGCATTAAAACTCTGTTTAGGCGACAGCTGAGATTATAGAGACATAACGTCTAGTGCTTAAATTGGCGCTCTGCCCCATTCTTCGCCTCAAATGTGAGTGTCCCGAACATTCCAGGGCTGAACTTGGCTCCGCGTGCCAAACTCTGTCCTTCGGTTTAATATTTGATCGTGCTACCGTCCTAAGCATACAAACGTTCAATAAATACTTGTTGATTGGCAGCTACATTCTGCCGAGTAATTCATGCCACGTTATTTCTTCTTAAGAGTATCAGTGACATCAACAGGCCATTGCGTTCTCAAACTTGTTTCTTGAAGAAAAGCTCAATTAACAGGGATTCCCACAACGATTCGTCAGTTATATAAAAGCGGGTGGTATTCTTGTTTACATCAAAGATGAATACACAAACTACCTACATTGTGGGAACAGATCCGGGAGGAAACATTAATTCTTTGAGCGCGAGACGTCGGCGTAGTATTTAAAACGTGGATTATTTTTCCAAATAAACTTTTAAATGCACACGACGGTAGCTTATCTCGTATTAATACTGCTCTGGAACTGAAGGAAGACCGGCTGACGAGTCAAGCCTATCCTTTTAAGTGGCAAAAAACACTTCCAACATACTTTCTCGTTTCTCTCACCTCCTTCCCGAAAGGCGGGCTTGGCCCAGGGTCACGTGACACCGTCCACGGCTCCGGGCGGAAGAGGCCGGCCCAGCTGAGGGGAAACGCACCGGAAGGCGAGTGGGCGGGCACTCGCGCCCGGCTGAAAGATGGCCGCCGCCGCCCGGCAGCCACCGCCCCGGAGGTTACTCTAGGGCCTGCGGCTTCCGCCCGTGCCCGCGGACCACCGCCGTCTCCTTACCATGAAGCCAGTGAGTCGCCGCACCCTGGACCGGATTTATTCAGCGGTAGGTCCCGGGCCTGGAGGGGCTCCACGGAGTCGACTCCTGACGCCCGCGGGTGAAAGCCCGCTATTTTTTCAGCGCCCAGAAACTCCAAAATCCATTGCTGAATTAAGCTTTTCACTCCCTCACCTCGACTCCGCCTCTTCCGGGAGGACACG